AGTATATATGTATATATATATATATATATATATATATATATATGCAGGGTGGCCCATCCATGTGTGGACGGAGTATTACTCATAAAAAAATACATTTTGGGAAAATATATTTATGGCATGTTATACATGACATTTGAGGGCGCATTTCTATATTATCGGCAATTATACAGGGTGTTCCAATTTCGACCTACATATCAAAGTTGTGATTTTTCAAATGGATTGCCTCAAATTTTATTTCATATTTGGATAAACCAATTCAAAAGAAGAAAATTGATATACCATACTACGGGGTTTTGGTAAATAGCTACTAAGATATAATGTGTTTTGTCTAGAAAAACCCCCCACTTCGACGACCCCTCAGTCCGCCATTTTGAAATTTGGAGTGCTGAATTTTGTATCAAAAATAACTTACACACCTCAGGCTTTATCTTATTTATTACTTTTTCGAATTTTAATTTTTGCTCATACAGGGTGGTCAAACACGCAAATTGTAGTTTTTCTCAAAAATTTCAAATGCATCACCCTGTATATTTGGGCAACTTTGGATTCAATTTTTGATAAGCTTTTTTTTGATACTGGACACATAAGTGTTTTTACGGCTATTTTTTCGGATATTAGCACGTCTTTTATGGAGCGGCTTGATTCCCTGAAATATGGCATCATCCTTGGAAACAAATAAATTGTTGATAAGTTATAAACTGTCAAAATTAGCTTTGTGAGCATTATAATAAAAACGTGTTCTAAAGAAGAAATAGTGAATATGGTGTTCGTTTTGGGCGAAGCCCAAAGAAATAGATTCCTAGCATCCAAGGCCGGAAACATTTTCCACACTACGAGAACGTTTTGAATCAAGTGGAGCAGTGGAATATAGTAAAAAAAACGTATAAATAATCCAAGTGTAACCAATGAGGCGAATCAGTTGGAGGTTCTATTAAAGTTGCACGGCAAATTGGAGCAGAAACTGATATATGCAGAACTTCTGTCCAAAGGATTATTCACAAGCATAGGTACCATCCATATCACCTATGCTTGCATCAAGGCTTTCGTCCTCAGGATTTCGCAGATCGAATGGAGTTTAGTAGAATAATGCTAAATAAAGTGAGTGAAGACACTACTTTCCTGCATATGGCTCTTTTTAGCGATGAGGCAACTTTTAACAGCATAGGTGTTGTCAACAGGCATAACAGGCACTATTATGTGACGGAAAACCCTTACTGGGTTAGGCAAATAGTTTTACAAAATAAATGGAGCTTGAATGTTTAGGGAGGAGTTATTGGCAGACAAGTTATCGGGCCTTTCTTTTTCGACAACAGATTAACAGGTACAGAATACTTGAATTTTTTGATCGAGCATTTGCCTTTGCTTTTGGAGGATGTCAACCTGCAAACTCGGATGCGTATGTACTTCCAACATGACGGCGCACCTGCGCATTATCATAATCGTGTGCGTAACTATTTGGACACCTGCAGTAACAATCGTTGGATCGGTCGTGATGGGCCTATATCTTGGCCTCCTAGATCACCAGATATGACACCGATGGACTTCTTCCTATGGGGCTACGTTGAGCAAGAGGTTTATAGATATCCACCATCAACTCCGGAAAGGATTAAGGATGCTTTTCTGAACATAAGGGAACACATGCTGAGGGATATGCAACGGTCATTTATCCAAAGACCACGGCTGTGTATTCAACATGGTGGAGATATTTTCGAGCAGTTTTTGTAGATTAGGTCTTGAGTAGTGATAGTTGTTTGTTTATGTTGTTGTTATAGTTGTTTTTCTATTACGCTTGAAGCTGATTTATAGTGTTCTGATTGTGATGTGATTTTTTTTTAGTATGTATATTAATCTTCTTCTTTTGAATTGGTTTATCCAAATATGCAATAAAATTTGAGGCATTCCATTTAAAAAATCACAACTTTGATATGTAGGTCAAAATTGGGACACCCTGTATAATTGCCAATATTTTAGAAATGTGCCCTCAAATGTCATGTATAACATGCCATAAATAGGTTTGCCCAAAATATATTTGTTTATGAGTAATATTCCGTCCACACATGGATGGGCCACCCATATATAAATACACATCTAATGTATTTGCATCAAGTTGTTCATTTTCAGATCATTAATACCAGATATGGGATTTGAAGATACCACAGCTGGTGGAATTTGTTCAATGTAGGGAATTATTATTGATAAATTATGCTTCTTCCTTCGAGTCATGTGTCTAAAATTTCTTAAACGACAGAATATCAACATAAGCTATAGTCAGAACTGTCGGCATGCCAGAAATCTAAAGAAGTACACACAAGTACCTTACTGAAGGAGACATGATATTGCGGAAATCAAGGAGGCCATAAAGGCGTCCTACAATTGTAGGAACGACTGACGATACGGCCCTTAGTGTATTTTAATTACAAATTAACTCTATCAAACCTTATGCAATCGAGTCGAAAAGTCAAAAAGGTGTCCCCTGCGTTTTTGGTAACTTGGTTTTACGAGCCTTATATCAGAAAAAGTATGTGAAAGGGGGAAACAAAAATTATGAAAGTATACATTTGAATATTTTAAATAATAAAATGAATCAAGTTAAAATTTTGCATTTCTAACCACCCTGCCAACAGAAAAACAAGTAAGTAGTCAGGGAGAAAATCTGAGATCATACAATTTTTTTTGCTATAATAGTTGCATAGATACGTGTTGTCAAATTTGAGAATTTTTTTCGATAGATTATCCAATAGCTAAACAGTTTGAAAATAGAACCCTATAGTATGTGGAATCAAATTGCTTTGATTGAAAGGACATATTCGAATCTGCAATAAAATTTATTTATTCAAATTTAAAAAATGTATCTTTGGGGTAGCGCGTAGTTATGAGTAACCCTGCAGAAAGAAAAATATTTTCCAAGTAAGGAGCATACTGTTCGCTACAATTACAGTATTTAACTTTTTTAGATACCACGCGTAATAACGAAGTTATCGATCGGACCTACGCTAGAAACTGACCCTGATTGAGGAAAAATTGAAAAGGATCCAAGATTGGAAGAAACGACATATCTTCCACTAGAATGTATAATAGAACTGCTACAATTCTTGTTGAAGAATAGCTACTTTCAATAAAGGGATGCACTCTACATTCAAGATGAGGTACTACCGATAGGATCACCACTGTCTCCATTTGCAGCAAACCTATACAAGGAGTAGTTTGATTCAATGACCATCGCAACAACCGAAAGGAAAGCAAAATTATGGCTTTACAATATGGAATCATGGAGCAGACCATCTACCGGAATTCCTCAAGCATCTCAACAACTTGAAACCCTCTACGAAGTTAACAAAACAGAAAGAGATCGACAGCGCATTTTCATTTTTGAATGTCATGGTAAAACGGGCCAATGACCAAATGGAGACTGCAGTCTACAGGAAAGTAATACATACGGCGCAATATTTACACTATTCCACAAGCCACCTAACAACTACGAAGAAAGGCGTGATCCTCACTCGCAAAATCTTGCTTGGCGAATCCACGACTCTTTACAAGCTTCGAAAATAAAATCCTGGATTCCACGGATTAAATAACACGCATTTTCAGTGCGCTGTTGAAGTTCTTCCAGAGTATTTACTGCTCCATCATCCTATTCATCTATTCGGAAACTCATGATTTTGATGTTCATAAACTTCTCTTCTAAAATATGGTGGAGCCCCATCATGTAGCATACATTTAATGAAAATCTATGGTGAAACTGACTTCTTCTTACAGCCTGCGGATTTCCTACTGCCGAAACATGATTGTTGTGGAAATGTACTCCATTCCGTGTAAATGTGTCCTCGTCTGTACACAAAATTAATTTCGTAACATCATTTCTGTCGAACTGTTCTAAAAGCCACTGGCGAAATGCAACTCTTCTAGGATGATCTTCAGGTTGTAACGCTTGTACCCGTTGATAATGATAACAATAATACTGTTCTTGTCGTGTTGTCTTCCACACTTTACTATGAGAAACTTCAACTTGAGCTGCTATGGCTGTAATACTCATTGTTGGGTCGTCTTCGTCAATTTGTAACATTTCAGGTTCAGCAGGTCTTCCAGTGTGACCTCCTCGTTGTTCTTTTAGGTATTCTATGTCACGAAGTCTAATAACTAAATAATTTACAAACATGCGTGGGACCGGATGATTTCTTAAAGAAAACCTTTCCGCATAAAACCTGCAGGCTGATGCTACATTTTGTTGGCACTTTCCGTATGTTAGTATTATGTCCACTAGTACATTCTTTCCGAACACATGGGCCATTTTTAAGTAAACTTTGTGCTCTCTGGATACCGCATAGTCCGACTTGGAGCCGAAAGATGATGAAAATGTTTGATAAGGTAAAATCTCGGTATGTGAACAGCATCGTGACATGTGCCGATCAAGGCTCAAAACAAAGTTTGGGTCTTTGATGATGAGGATATACCCGTAGCTCTCATAAAATCCCGATCTGTTAAAAAAAAATTATAGCTGTATTTTTCAAATCGAGCGGGATTGTGGAGCGTGTCGTTTTGGACACACATAAGACAGTCACAGCTAAGCTGTGCACGGAACAGTGCCTGTCTAAAGTCATAGAGTCTATGAAAAACCTGCGGGTAAAGTCAAGAATGGACACTTGGTACCTCCACCACGACAACGCTCCAGCTCACCGCGCCAAAGCCTACACCGAGTATTTGACCACCACTTGAACTGAAACTTATTTAGCACCCTCCTTACAGTCCAGATCCAGATCTTGCTCCCTGCGACTTTGCACTATTTCCGCATGTGAAAATGAAGCTAAAAGGAAAACGATTGTACCCCACTCCGGGATGAAACTTGGCAGAGCTGGTTTAAGGACTGGTTTTGGCAGATGGAGAAGTGTATTGAATGTGGTGGTAATGACTTTGAACGAAGTAAATAAATAAAGCAAAACTTTTATAGTACCCTTTGTATATACAATAGGTTAAATGCGTAAATCAATGATAGTACTCACCAATTATGATATTGAATAGTTGATCGATCCTAATTTTAGTGTAACTGTTGTAGAGAAAGTTGGTCAATTTGTTGTTGAACATAAGCATAGGATCATCACCAGGTGAAGTGTCATGGCAGTATATCTTGCCCAACCAATTCAGCACTACATTTTTTAGCCACTAAAAATCGATTTAATACATAAATCCCTTTCCATTAACTTGCAAGCAAAATAAGAGCATAGTAAGTTTATACCTTTAAAATTGATGGCTAATTAAACGCTGAAGTCTAGGCACAGAACCTGTCTGGTGAAAATAGTCCGAAAACGTAAAGTACATTCTGTCGGTTGATGGAAACACATTTGGTACATAAGGATTTTGAAGGTCGCTGATTCCGAACCTATTGTCAGATTGTCTACAAACAAAATGGCGGACTATCTAGAGCGATATATATCTGATTTGAACAGAATACCGGGTATAATTTAATTAAAGTCTAAAAATACAGGATATGATTCCTTAGCTCACTTTAGGAAGCATATGTCCTAAAACTCTTAAGTGTTAAAATTTTAAGAAAAAATCGTTTTCTCATCATAACTTTAATACTGTTCTAGATATTTGCATGAAATTTGACTACTAAGCACCAATAGGCATTTTTTGATAAAGAATATTTTTTAATAGTTCTACCAGTGGCGTCCGATTTGAAGATTTTTTCAAAAAATATGGTCCGCCATTGCTTTTTCCAAAAACATCATTTTTGAAATGCTCATTCATTTTGCAACAAAATTCACCTCGACTTTTTTCCGTCTGTAGCACCGTTTTCGCGTAAGAAATAAAAATCATTTTGGTTATTTTAATCAATCGACTTTACTTGAATCAAAATTAAACAATAACACATGTTACCTACAAACTACCATATAAGATTGTATTGATTTTGCAATGCATAAAAATTAAAAAACAAGTTTGCAACAAGTTTTGATAATTTCTGTGGATCAAATAATCTAAGACTACTTAATTTATCACAAGAATTGTTGCTTTTGCTAGAATACAGGCTTCAATTCTCTTTCTAATGGATTGGTGAACCCTTTCAAAAATTCCAGTAGTATTTCTTCAGATTTGACAAGAAAGTAAAATTGTCTTCCTTAGTTCCTCTACAGTTGGCTCCGGTGTAATGTAAACTAAAGCCTTGAGGTGCCCCCACAAAAAACAGTCACTATTTAAATCAAGGGACCTGGGAGGCCAAGATTGAGTTCTCCCACGTCCTATCCAGCGATTCGTAAACGCTTCATTTAGAAATTTCCTGGCATGAATGCTAACATATGCAGCACCATCATGCATGTACCACATTTCTTCTCTTAATAAAAGAGGTACATCCTCATGCAAAACTGGCAAATCGCTTTCAAGAAAGTGACGATAGGATAGTCCATCCAGTCGTCCTGGAAGGAAGAATTGTACTATGAGGAAATATCCAACTATTCCAGCCCACACATTCACGGAAAACTGCTCCCGATGATGTGCCTCTATAATTGCGTTTGGGTTTTCTTCGATATGTACATGATTATTATGGAAATTTAATGGGATTGCGGAAATAAGTATCTTCGTCAGTAAAGAGTATTTTGATACCAAATAAAGGGTTTTCAGCAAGTTTTTCTAAAAACCATGGGTATGATAGGGATATAGTAAATTATCAACAAGTATTATCCAAATAAGAAAATGGGAAACATTAAGAATTATCGCAATGTTCCTAGTACTTGTTGCTGGATGTTCCTCAATTGTATTTAAAACAGCTTCCTCTAATTCTGGTGTTGTCACCATGCGATGTACACCTTTGGAACTATTGTCAATGCTCCCACTGTGTATTCTAGAAAACATTCTGGCAACGGGAATGATACGATTTGGATAACGCTCTTAATATATACGCCTAGCCATAAATGCATTCCCGTCAGCAAGTCCGTAGATAAAATGCATATCTGCTAACTCGGAATTTGTAAATCTTGGCATAGTTTACTTATTTTCTCTTTATTATTGATAAATGAAACTTTCACAGTTTCACAAAAACTATCACGTTTATGAACACTTGTCAAATAAGACCGCAACGTAATCGATCAAATGTTATTATTTTAAAAACAAAATAGTTCAAAGTGATTTCGTTATATCACAAATGCATGGAAATGATTTCTTCTTTGACGATACGATTGATTGGCTCATCCACAAGATTAATGTTTCAAAACGTAATTATTGTCATCAAGAGATTTCTTAATAAGTTCTTCTTTGTATACTAGACGTGTCCAAACTTCATTGGAAATTTTGAGACGGGCATCCTCTGGAAATAGATACCTAAAGTGTCGTTCATTAGTTTGGTGTCTATCTGAGTTAATCAATCAGTTTTCATACCAAGCTGGGAAATCGACTGATCTGGCCTTACACAATCTGGTCGGCAGGCTGGAGAAGACTCTAGATCAGCGAGAAGTTGCACTCGTGACCTTTTTGGACATTGAAGGTGCATTTAATTGCACTACAACCGACTCTATCAGACATGCTTTGGTTAGACACGGGGTTGGATCAATACTAGTAGATTGGGTCTTATCCACTCTGGAGGGTCGGCACGGGTATTACGTATCTTGGAAAGTGACGTTATATCGATTTTTTTGACATTATACTGGTTTTTTGACATTATGTAGGTTTTTCGACAAAATGTTAACTTAGTACTAGCTGATCGGCACTTGTCGTGAACTCATTTGTAGTTCTACGTGTTGCCCAAACGTCATGATGTTTCAGTTATCAGTCTTTGGCTCTGATGTGATGTAAGATCTGCTTCAGAGATGGCACTACTGGAGGACTAAGCTGAGGGATAATGAGGTTTGTGTGCTAATAATGTGTTGATGATAATTCTATTGGATTCTTCTCTCAAATACACTTACTTTCAAGGCTAGAAATTAGTTGCGCATCCACTTTTCCTAATCGATACTGGAAATTACATATGCAAATTTTCTAAACTTAAAAAATGAGAGAGATAAGAAATAATTATATTCACTGTACACTGTCGAATTACAAGTCATATATATGCTAACATTCAACGCGGGCGCGGTGGTGATTTTTTGTAATTCTTCTTAAAGTTTTTGAAAACACAAAAGAAAAACGGGAGAAATCGTAATTGATATAATTATTATTATAATATAATTGAACATAACCTCTCTTTAGAAAGAACAACACAAATAACCTGTCTGGCACAGTTAATAGATATACTTCATTGGCAGCATAGTCAGTAATAATTTTTTCACACAGCAAATATCACAGATTTTATACAGATGCAGACCAATACAATCATCCAGATCCGGTCTTGCAGCAACTCAACCAAACTTTCATGGTCTCACATTTTAAACACTACAATAATATGTCTACAACCAACGTGGCTGTCTGCAACCAACAATGCATACTTGGAAAGAGACGAGCATGCCGCATCGTTCATTCATTCCTACATAGATGGACGCTTTGGATCGCGGTCACAACGATTGTAGTGAGCAAACGTGGAATGACAGTATGTACCCTAAAAACTACCTAGTCTGCAAGATAATATCTTATAGGTTTGTTTGACGTTTTATAGGTTTTTTACATAATACCCGTGCGGGTAGCAACAACTATACTGAATGACGTAAGCATCAGCGTAGCTCGAGGCTGTCCACAGGGCGGTTGTCACCCCTACTGTGGTGCCTCGTGGTGAACGAACTCCTCGTTAGGCTCAGCAGTTCGGGTGTCTACATGCAAGCCTATGCTGATGACTTAGGCATAGTATTTATGGGTGTTTTTTGTAGAACAGTCTCTGCGCTCTGTGGAATCGTGGTGTAGGGAAGTCGATCTGTCTGCCAACGCTGGAAAGACCGAGCTGATCCTATTCACTAGGAGAGGAAGGCTTGACGGGCTAGTTTTTCCGACCTTCTTTGGAATTAGATTACTTCTATCCCAATGAATAAAATATCTAGGAACTATCTTAGACTATAAACTGAACTGAAGAAAGCATGTTGAATACAAGGTTCGCAATTCGATGTGGGTCTGTAGACGTGTTGTCGGTGTAAGGTGTGGGCTTAAATCCAAAGTGGTAGACTGGCTCTACATGACGATAGTATGTCCATCTCTCTTGTACGGCTCCCTGGTCTGGTGGCCTTGCATTGGACGTGAGACAACTAAGGCCAAACAATAAAATTCAGCGTTAAGCCTGTATTAGTATTACAAGCTTAGTGCGAACAATGCCATTGAGTGCAATGGAAGCTCTACTGGATCTCCCACCGTTGGATCTAGTGATCCGCGGTGAAGCGGGAGTAGTCACGCATCGACTGTGGAGTCAGGGCAGCTGGGCCTTCTGGAATCATGTTAAGGGTCATACTGCCATCTTAGTCAAACTGCAAAGGGAGGATCCCGTCCTTCTGAGGAGGGGCGATCTAATTACCCCTAAATATCGCTTCAACCACAAGTTTAATGTGGAGTATCTAACGACGGAGGAGTGGGACGCCGGTAGCCGGAGGCTCTCCGGAGTGTTTGGGCAGGTCTGGTACACGAACGGCTCGGTCACCGAAAAGGGCTCTGGCGCCGGAGTATCTGGGCCTAGAACTAGGCTATCTCTGCCTCTTGGTGGATACACCACTATTCTCCAGGCGGAAATCTTTGCGATTCTGGCTTGTGTATCCTACATTTTGGAGGGGGAGGGCCTAGAAGAAGAATAACTATCTCCTCCTACAGCTAGGCAGCAATGAAGGCACAGAGTGCCTGTAAGATTACTTCAAGCATTGTATTGCAATCCATGGAGACTCTGGATTGTCTAGAGGTGAGGCATCCGGTATCGTTAATGTGGGTACCGGGACACGCTGGGTTAAAGGGTAATGAGACGGCGAACGCTCTAGCGAAGACAGGATCAGCCAGCAAGCTCGTTGTTCCTGAGCCAGCTTTAGGAGTGCCCGCGCAAAGAGTTAGGAGGAAAATGGAGAAGTGGATTACAAGACAACACTCTCAGAAATGGAGGAGCATCTCCAGACAACTCTGTCAGGCACGGGAACTGATTGAAGGATGAACGTTTCTGCTTATCCTTGGATAGAGCCAACCTAAGGTTGCTGGTGGAACTGTTGTCTGGACATAACACGATAAGTCGTCACCTCGTGATGGATGTGGCTGAGGATCCCTTGTGTCAGCGCTGCGAGGTAGAAGAAGAGACCTCGGCAGTTCTGTGTCGCTGTAAAGCTCTGAGCTACTAAAGTCAGACTATAACTGTGGTCCATTACATTGGACCCCCAGGACGTCAAGGAGTTTGGACTCAAGGCCATACTCAACTTCGCTAGAACGGCGAAGCTTGAGGTCTAATGAATGTAGAGGTGCATAAGTGCCCCTTTAAGCAGCCTATGAGCTGGCTCGTTATGATGGCCATCATGCCTCTAATTTGATGATTCATTCATTCGTCTGAGTTAAAACAGCGGCAAGAAATAGTAGACTCCAGCTAAAACATATCTCAAAACATAGTTTCAGTCTGTCGAAATTGACTTTAGTTATCGGTTTCTGGATTTCTAAGGAGTGCTGAGTTTTCAAAAACTTGTGTAGCTTCGAATGGTCCATCAAACTTGCTTTGAAGCTTGTTCGAAATTTGGGACTGTTTTCTAAAGACTGTCGCCAACTTTGTATGTTTGCAAATTCGGTGTCATCCTATTGTCGAAACGAACTTTAGCTTTTTGTTTTTGTTCGGCTGTTCTGGCATGGGCAATTTTGTCGTGATATTCGAACATATTCCGAATATTTCGACTAATTTACATATTAAGTCTTTTTTAATTTAAACATGTTTCGGATGGCTACTAGCCGTGTGACGAAATACCACTTTATATGGAGAAAAACCTGTAGTTTTATTCCTGCTCTTGTAACATTGGATTGCGAAGAATGTTGAATGGGTTTTCAGATACGTGTGATCTGATCATTTCCAATTAAGTTGCATGGAATCGTTCGATGGGTCCATTGGGCTGCAAATGACTAACGTTGGGAAAAGTTAATATCGAACTGATATTACAAAGGACTTTTATGAGGGCGATGTTAAATTCTTTTCCGTAATGCATACCTTCTCTGGTTGTAGGTTGTTTCAGAAAACACGATGACCTTTAACCGCCCACGTAAATAAAAATCAAGGCAAGTTAGGTCTGGTGATCGCGAAGGCCATGGAAACAGACTTCCGCTTCCAATCCACCGCTGTTGAAATAGTACATTAATATGCTCTCGCACAATAATAGCAAACCATCCAACTGCAAAAACAAATTTTGTCGTGTTTCCAATGGCACATCTTACAACAACAACGGTAATTGATTGTCCAAAAAGTAAAGAAAGACATTGTCATTTAGGGTTTGCTCAAAAAAAGATAGCCCAATAATTCTGCCTCCCAGTATGTCACACCACACATTTAAACTCCAACGCCCTTGGTGCTGATCTTTACACAACCAATGCGAATTTTCTGCAGACCAATAATGCATATTGTGCAATAGTCCAACATTCCGATCAGTCTTCCTCTTTCAAGGCTTGATGCAAAACGACATGATATGGGTGCATTCAAACGAACAAATTGAAAAAATATATCCCAGTACGCGGTTAATATAATAAGTTCCCAGATACAGTACCTCGCAATCTTAGTTGGTCACCCTGTACATTCATAATATTTGCAAAAATATATTTAAACGAGCAGCAGAAATGGCAGATATGATATAAATAATATAAATATAAATAATTGTAAGCAAGATCTTACCTTCTCCAAAGTCCATATATAATTAGTATCAAAGCTGTCTTTACAAATTTTCTGGATGTGTGAATGAGTATAATTATATATAACATCAGTTAGATCTTGACCTACTAAAGGTTCCAACAAATGCATCTCACCAAGTTTTCTGAAAATAAATAATACATAGGTACTTAGCTTACGAATGAATAAATTAGACGACAGTGCCCTAAACCCTCAACCGGACCCTTGTCCTGGTCACTTTGACTCTGTATTATCTGAAACTTCATTATTACCAAGTGTAAATAGTGGCTTAAACAATTAACAATTAAACATCTGCCACGCCGCAGTAGAGCGCAAGCGCACCTTGCGTAATATGGTATTTATTTGCCCATGATAAGTTTTGGTTGAACATTTTGTGCAGTGCTGCTATTTTCATTATTATTGCCAGATATTTGGAAAAAGGCCACATCTACATACGTTCTTAAATAGAAAGTCTTAAGAGAAAGAGTGGTTTCTTATCAAAATGGGCTACAAAACAGCTACAAAGCTGGAGGAGTGCAGATGGTCGTTTTCCTCAATGCCTTCCCACGCTAAAGAGGTTAAAATCCCATAAAAATGGAGAGAGAGAGTAGCACCCAAACAACAACCAAACCAACTAAACGTAAAGTAGGTACAAAAAAAGATGCTACTCCATAAACTGGTAACTGGGGTCCAATACACACACACATATCAAAAACTTCAACAGGAAAATAGTGCCAGACTGTCAATCAATGTGAAAAGTAGGAGTGCGTTCCAAAATCCTATACTCCACAGATTTTATGCCAAAAGTAATAATAATGAATGGGAAATTGCTATTCCCAAACCAGACTGTCTAATATTCTACCTAGACATAAAAACGCAGAGTTTTGCCCAAGGAAAACAAAATAATCCCAGAAACCTGACAAAGGCGTTCAGAGATGAAAAGTTCGCAACCGAACGTACATATGCACATCACTAGTTACCTATAGATAGACTGTTATTTCCCAAAACAACGTTGTAGGTAAAAAAAATCAGTTTACGAGAGACCAACGATATTTTATGAGGACCTTTCTCAGATGGTCATTAATGTAATATTATAATATTAGTGTCCAAAAGAATTCAACACAATACTGAAATTTGCCAAAAGAAAATCATTGAAAAGGGTTTGGCCTAGGAATCGGCACGCTATCATTGATAAAGAGAAATTCAAATTATTGGTACGTGATCGAAAAAGTAAAAGGTTACGTGATTTTGGCACGTTACAAAAGATATTTTCTAATGAAATTGGTGACTGAAATCCTCTAGGGAAAGTTTTTACTTTTAGTCGTGCATCAGACCCATCTCAGTTGCCTAAACCACTGTTCTTTTGAGATCCCTTTTCAAGCTTGTAAGTGGTGGGAACAACTAATAAAAGGAAAAGGAGTCCTAGAATGAGAATAAGAAGATGGAATGGAAGAGGCAAGAAGCAGTAAAAGAAGTATCTGCAATTTTGTCAATAAGGAATTGAAAATAATGTATCTATTGTAAGCATATTCTTATATCTTTGCTAAAGATTAAAACCTCAGAAAGAGTTTAACAATTAGAAGTCCAGTTTTGGACTCAAACCCTTTTAATACTAATTTTCAACTGTAATTACTAAAGGTGTAAAGTAAATGAAGCTTAACGTTACAAAGTAAGTTTCATATGTTTTTTAAAACATACTTTTAGCTTTCTTAAGTTAGTAACAGAAATGGGGTCCGATTTTGGGCACTTTCGTCTATACAGTGTTGGTAATTTGCCGTATTCCTTCCAGGGCGGGGTAGAGGTCCTAAAATGCAACAAATTTCACCCGCAGAAATAGCAGTTCTGGGACATGTATCACTTGACAACACCAAAAGCACTCGTGGACTGGCTAGTTCTTCAGGATTTACATGCTCAACAGTACAAAGAATTTTGAAAGACAGCAAATTTCACCCGTTCAAAACTTATCCATGAGCTTAATGAAGACGATTTTGATTGAAGGTTGGAGTTTTGCGAATTTATGTCCCAACGTTTAATCAACAATGCAAATCTGATATTTAATATTTGTTTCTCGGTGTAAGTTCTATTTACATGGTGCTGTAAATAGACATAACTGTCGTATTGGAGTGACTCGCATCCACATTTGTTTCGAGAGGTAGATTACTCTCTTTAGGGGCATTTGGAAAGTAAAGTTTTTAGTACGAAGAGCTAGATTCCATTCAAGATCTTCGTCAGCGGATTACGGCTCAATGTAAACAAATAACTCAAGACATGCTTGAAAATGTGAGGAATAGATTCGAACAAAATCTTCATTATTGCATGGAGGTAAATGGACAGCACTTTCAGCACTTATTACCACATTGACCTACCTCTTTATAACAAATTAATTTTTACTCTAACTTTAATGTGCGTGTAAAGTGTAAGTTGTTTTTTGTTTTTTCAACACTCGGAGTCTTCAATTTTAAAGTAAAGTCTTGTTACTATGGGAACTATATTGATTATTATTTTTACGATAAAATCCGTTATTATCACAATTTCTAGAATGTTATTATAAACTCAAATAGCTTCACAACGATTGAAGATAGGTATAAACTTCATTATACAAAACTTACTAAACACTTATGGAAAATCTAAAAATTAAAAAAATGGGGGTTTCCATTTAAAAATCTAAACTCTGGGCGCTGAAGAAAGACATTAAACGTAAACAGTGATCAGCACGTGAACAGATCCCTCGAAAGCATCCACGGATATACTCCAGTCACTTTAGGTCTAAACATCCTCGGCAGTGTATTTCTAGTGAATCCACAGACCCTTTTTCGTGTCATCTTGAGACTAGAAAAAGGATGACTGTTAAAATAAGTTACCTTGATCTTTCATGAGCTCCCAGTACAAAACATCATCGATATATTTTTGATGTAGGAACAACAAATTGGTTTAGAAAACATCCACTTTGAACCTAAATTGACTGGAGTAACATCGATCTACAGACAAATTCAAGGTCACTAGCAGTCGTCGGCGCTCTACGAATCTGCACAGGTTTGGACTTGTAAACGTGATTGTAGATGACACGACAGGCATCTAACAGTTAATTCACGCACAGGATTGCATTGCATACGCATTACGCATTCAGTAGCGTATACTCGTTTTTCGCGAGTGGAACGTTTTGTTTATATATTGCCTAAGATACGATGTCTGACACAGATACAGCCGACGAAGTGGTTGACATCAGCGCAACCCCACCCAAAAAAAGGGCTAAGAAGCTACATTTAAGTGCAAATGAAAAACAAATAATATTAAATATATACAAAAACCAAATTCAAGAAAAACCCGATTTGGTCGTGGACGAAGTTATATGTAAGGTAGCACATATTTCTGGAGTATGTCGGTCCAGTGTTTATAGGATCATTAAGGAATATAGGAGCACTCACTCACTTTCTGAGCCAAAACCATATCCTGCAAGAAAAAGGATAACGGACAGAGTAGATGACTTTGACAGAACTGCCATCAGGAGGAAAGTGCATAATTTTTTCTTCCGAAATGAGATACCTACAGTAGATAAGATATTAAGATTAGTTAATGCTGATGAGGATCTTCCATCATTTAAAAGAACCACATTCCGAAAACTTTTGAAGGAACTTAATTTTCGATTCTTGAAACGGGGAAGAAACATTATGTTAATAGAGAAAGAAGAAATTGTTGTGTGGAGAAGGGAATACCTTAGGAAGATTCGGAAGTTTCGCGATGAAAAAAGAAAAATTTACTATTTGGACGAAACGTGGGTGAATGCTGGACATACTCAAGCGAAAGTTTGGGTCGACAAATCAGTAACATTATCAAGGCAGGCTTTTCTAGACGGTCTTTCGGCTGGATTGAAAAATCCTGCAGGTAAGCTCCTTCAGCTATCCGGCAATTTAATTTTGATAAATTCGGGCAAATAATATGCTGTGATAGCAGATAATGTGTGATATTCTCCAAAAATGGTGCATTCGCAGTGTAGTCATTAGGAAAAAAACTTCGACCCTCTTTTAAGCGTTATTTTGAAATTTATTATCATTTTTGGGTGCAGTCAATTTGCTTTGAATGGGTTTTGAGAAGTTGCAAACTTCAATTTTCTACGTTTTTCAGTTTAGCATTCCGTGACTCTTAAATTTAGCTAAATGAACTCAATTGCCTCATTCCTTCAAATTTAATCAATCCATAGTGTAAGGAATAATTTATTTCCAGGAAAAGGCAAACGGCTGATCATTTGTCACGTAGGTAGTGAAGACGGCTTTGTTCCCGAAGCACTGTGGGTCTTTGAATCAAAAAAGACAGGGGACTATCATGAGGAGATGGACGGCAATTCCTTTGAAAATTGGTTCTCCAAAATGTTACTAAAGCTGGAGAATAACGCTGTTATTGTACTGGATAATGCCCCGTACCATTCTAGAAAAATAGAAAAAATTCCCACAATGGCAACTAAAAAAGCAAACATACAACAATGGCTGGCCTCAAAACAGATCGATTTTGATGAAACAATGGTCAAGGGTGAATTGATAAGTATAGTCAATAGACATAAATACAAATACGATTTTAAAATGATCGACGAATTGGACAAAAAAACAAAATAAAACTGTCTTGAGACTGCCACGCTACCTTTGTGAGCTGAACCCTATTGAGCTGATTTGGGCCAACATAAAGCAATACGTGGCGTCGAATAATAATACTTATAAATTTTCTGATGTTAAAAATCTCTTTCACATCGCAGTCAATAGAGTTACGGCAGAGGAATGGAAAAACTGTATCCGCCACGTTCGGGAGAAGGTTGAGGTCAAAATGTGGGATTTGGACAATGTCATCGATACCCAAATTGAACCTCTAATAATTCATTTAAACGATTCAGAAGATTCAAGTTCCTCTTCTGAATGAGTGCGCGCAGCTTACTTACTAATAACTAAAAAGTGTAGTTAACTCATTTGTGAATCTCTAACTGAAATTTACTGTAAAAGATAATAATTATCTTGTATGAAATTTTTGATGACTACCCATAATATCTTGATGCGGTCCTGTAATGTCTCCTGCGCCTAAACACTCACTCACGAGCAATATGCGTGTATTTGTTTGGGTTTAGTTTCTTTCTTCAGCGCCTAGAGTATAAAGTGTAACGCA